GATTTAATTCATAATATAAGTTCAACACAAAAATTTTTCGTCATTTTAAAATGATTTTCCTAGAAATCCTGCTCCCCTTTTTTAACCACCCATAACTGCTAATTAACTCACTCTTTTTTCTTAATGCACCTCAAACTTTAATTAAACCACTAAAACTTTTGACCATCACTTTTCTTTCTTTTGTAACTAAAATCATATTCTCCCTTTGGCTTACAACAAAGAAAAAAGTCCCACTGACAAATAATGTTATAAAACAACTTAAGAAGCACTGAACTGAAGCAATCAATATGAGAAAGTGAATAGAGCACAAAAAAAAAGACCAGGAAGTCCAAGCAGCTGCTAATAATCATCGATTATCGTCCAAAGTGTTCTAAGTTCAAACAGTTCAGAAGTTTTTAACTGTACTTCGAAACTTCTGAACAATTATCACCTTAACACTACATCCAAAAAATTTCCGGCTACAGCGCAATCAGAACAACAACAGGACAGATGAAATTTTGGACAATAAATCGATAAAAATCATACCAGTAAATCGCACCAAACTCCAACAATCCACAACTTTTGTCTTCAAATAGATTTTTAAAAAAATTTAGTAAAAGTTAAGATGAAGGCAAGAAGAAGAAGATGAAGATAAGAACGAAAAAGCTGAGGAGAATCTTAAAGTAATAAAGAAAAAATTTGAAGGAAAACATCGCTATAGAAACATTCAACAACACCAATCCAATCATTAGATAAAATTATAAAGAGAAAAAAACCAGCAAAACTTTTATAGTCACAATTCAAAAAGCAAAAGAAAAAAATTAGTCTGATTTTCCATTTTATAATACGTCAACTACAACTGCAATAGTAATACCAATAATAATAATAATAAATAATACCTATAATTACGGTAATAATACCAATAGTTATAGTAATGAAAATGGTAATCTGATTACTGGCCGATAAATATCAAACCAAACGTATCGATGTATATATAAATATAAATATATATACATAAATATATATATATATATATATATATTTAATTATATATACATATAAATATGTACACATTCCATCATTATTTCTAAATTCATCTAAAAACACATGAAAGTTCAACATCAAACAAATGGAAAAACAAAAGTCCTCCAGTCCCCTTCCCATTCTTCTTCATCTTCCCTTCCCTCCGGTCCCTGTCGTCTCACCTAAACCGTACAGAAACAGCAAATAGGCGGAAATCAAACGAAAAAGCAACCGTGAACTTTGGTACTGCTGTCACTAAGCAGCTAGCCAGTACTAGTGATGTTAGTCATTTCATCCTCAAATCTTAACTATCAATTTTTTTCCTTCTTCCATTGAAATTTCGTCAGTTGAATGAATAGAGGAAAAAAGTAAAATTTAAAACGCTTGCAATATGAATTTCTAA